CTTAAGGCAGCCCTGTTTAGGGACGTTTTTAAAGTGTGATGTTTTATCATAACAAAATTTTTAAAAATCCTTCCAGTAACACCTGTTTCAGTGTCTCTGAAGAAGTGTGCATGCACACGAAAGCTCATACCAGTAACAAACTTAGTTGGTCTCTAAGGTGCTACTGGAAGGAATTTTTTTATTTTGTTTCGACTACGGCAGACCAACACGGCTACGTACCTGTAACTATGTTTTATCATGTTTTTAATATTCTGTTGGGAGCTGCCTAGAGTGGCTGGGGAAACCCAGCTAGATGGGCGGGATATACAGTAAATTAATATTATTATTATTCCAACTTTACAATTCTAAGTGAGCTTGCGTTATAATGCTCCTGTTTTGTTTCACATATGCTTTATTAATTGATGTGTTTAATTGCTTATTGGTGGTTGGGCATCACTCTGGCCCCCTCTGGAGGAAGGGCAATTCCTAAACAACATTCACCGCATGGCTGGTTTCCGTGATCAGCTGTAGCCCTGGAATATCAGCTCAAGCACTCAGCACTCTGACAGGATGGCTTTGCTGGATTACATGGCATTTCTCCTAATCGATCAAAAGTCTTGACTACACAAGTCTTGCCCTCTCTACAGCCAGGTAACCCACTTGCCTTGCATTTATCAGCTGCGAAATCTGCAGCCAGACCCAACTAATCCACCTGACTTCTCTCTCTCTTTCTCCAGAGAAGCCACTGGGAAATCTACCATTGTGTGGTCCTGTAGCAGCTGGACTGTCAGGAAACAATGCATGTGAGCCACCAGTCAGCTAAACATTAAGCTAATGTTCTCAGGCACCCACAAAAGGGCTGCTGGAGTTCTAGAAGCTTCCGGAGGTGAACTTAGCCCCCACTTCTGCCTCAGAAAATAGCACCCAGAGACACAGAATCACAGAGTTGGAAGGGACCCGAGGGTCCTCTAGTCCAACCCCCCTGCAAATGCTGGAATCTCAGCTAATGCATCCATGACATATATAGCCATCCAGGACTTCCGGGGTGGCGCCATGGGCAATGGCGGACTCCCTCTGAACTGGAGGGACTAGCTCCGCGGGAAACGGGTCTTTTCCGCTACGGCGAAGCGGGGACCCTTTTAAAAATCACAGGCGGATGAAGCCTGTGACCATGGGACTCGGCGGGCACCTTTAGCGCCCCCCCAACCCGCAAAGGAACCCATTAACGGGCTCTGAAGTGAAGAGGGGGAAGTGGCGCGGTGCTGTGAGTCAACTGCTATTTCCGTGGAGCGAAGCCGCATAGCCGTTGCCGGAGAGCGCTGCCTTTGTCCTGGGACAATTTGGACTCTAAAATAAGCACCCGTGAGTACTTAAACTTTGAACAACTGGACCTTAAATAAGGACTTGCGAGCAGAAAGGAATTGGATTTAAAAATTTATTTCAATTTGGTACTGAACTGGAAGGTCTAAACAGGAAGTCAGCCTTCCGTTCTTTTGTAGACAGAATAAAGCAAAGACAACGTAAACTAGAGCTTAGAAAATCGCTTTTAAAGGATTGGATTTCATCATTTAAAATTGTGGAACCCCCCTTCAACAGCAGGAGAAGAAGGGGGATCTTTTTCGGACTGTTTAAAGTGAGTTTAAAGTAAAGTAACTTTCCACCATCCTGATCCTGGAGCGGGGTGTCAGGACTGACGTTTGAAGCTCATTGACCAGAGACGTTTTTGACAGATAGCTAAAAGAAGAGAAACATAGTGATTCCACTGTTTCCTTTCGCATTTTAAAGGAACAAATATTGACAAAATATCTCAAAAAGGGAAACTTTATTGCAAGAACAAATAGAAGCTTTCCCCTAGAGGAGACTGTGAAACTGTAACCAATTCCAGGGAGCCGGCAGCTGTTACAGATTACAATCGTGGGAACAGACATTTGACCTTGCAGGACAATGTATTCAGAAGCTCTGTTGTGCGCTTTCTATAAAACAAATGCCCTACTGGAACAGTTACATGAGAAGATGAATTTGATGGCGACTTCGACTAGAAATTTTGAACAGGCAGTGGGAAATTTTGAACAGACAGTGGGAAAATATGTGGAGCCCACCCAGGAATTAAATCAGGAGTGTGTCCTGACAGAACAGGCCCAACAGGAATATGAGTTTTCGGATTTGACAAATGAACTTGGAAAAAGCCAGATTTGGAAAGAAAAGTTTGGTTTGGCTTGGAAATGGGGGGCTGGATTGACCCCCCTATGCTGGGATGTTTGGACTTTTCAAATCTGGCAATGGGCCGTGAGATGTTTGGGATTGTGGGGGCTCTTAATTTTGGAGGGTTTTTGAAACATGTTTTTAAATATCACATGGAATTTAGTGTTGAATATGGAAAAGGGGCTGATCTGTTGAGAAGGGTCAAAAATATTGTCAAGCTGGAGTTACCACGAGCAGTAGACAAGGGAAAATACAGTTACAAATATGAAGAAGAGCTGCGGAAGGGACATGGAAGAGACTTGAGGGCCTCGGATATAAGGTTGCCAGGTTAATGCGCTAGATCGATGGGATAATAAGGACTGACAAAACCCGGGACCAGGAGGAAGGGACGCTGGATGAAGATTGGATCTGTTTGTATTTCTTTTTTTTTACTATTAGGACTGTTTTATAAAATTGATGAATGTTAGAAAAATGTTGGAATGAAATTACTCGGCTTTAGTAAAGATGCTTAAAGAATTATGAAAGAATATTATGGTTATGAGAAGTTGGTAAGGATAAGATTTAAGCTTTAAGGGTTTTTTTTAATAAAAAGATAAGATTAAAACAGTTTAAGGTAATGTAATGACAGAATATTATGAAATATGGAAAGGATTTGCTGGGATAATTAATAACTAGGATACAAAGAAAGGGGGGAGGAGGAGGTCAAAGAAAGAAGGTAATGACAGTTGAGGATTTGAGAATAATGAATTTGTTTTTAAATGTTTTTAAATGTTTGTGGTGTGTTTTTGTTTTTTTCTGTTTTTTTCCTATTTTGAATTTGTATTCGTATTGTTGGAAGGGTTTGTTTCTTTCTTTGTTTACTTTGTTAACCATTTTTATTTTGTATTTTCTTTTTTCTTTGTAACATTTTGAAAATCTCAATAAATATCTTATTAAAAAAAAACAACATATATAGCCATCCAACCTCTGCTTAAAACCACAAGAAAAATCCAAAGCCCCACAGGCATAACATAAAACTGGCTCATCAGGTTTTCAGCTCATTTACTCTTGCAGCATAATGCTAGACTAGAAAGCAACACAAGGGAGTTTAGAAACAGGGACTAATCGAGGGTAGAGGGACCATCTCCTGTTTGGGTCAAGGATGCAACTCAGAAGGCAGCTCTATGTGTTCATGAGTAGACAAGACATCACTACGGCCACAATATTTAAACCAGGCTTATACAATTTTATCAGGAATGGTTGATAAGGCTGCTGCAGCTGTGGCTTTCTGGGGTCAGCAGCATTGCTAAACTACAGTTCCCAGGATCCTCTGGGGCGAGCCATGACTATCAATAGGGCATATATGTGGATGTCATCTGTCCTGAAATATTTATTTTGCTCATGCCGCAGAAATATGCTTCTGATCGCTTTGGTTAGAAGATGCGACCTTTCTCCCTGTAGAACTGTAACTTAAAACTTCCTTTCCCAAAGCCACCTGCGAAATTTGGGGAGATTGTTCTCAGGTCATCTTTACTTCCAATTCTCCCTAGGACAAAGTTGACTCTCATTTCCCTCAGCTGATGGGCAAAAAGTTCTTTCCCAGCTGACAAAGATCCATTTCCCTAGCAAATGGCTAGTAATCCTTTCCAATTTCCTTTCCACAAGAGTGCAAAAAGGAGTCACACAATAGTAACGACTCTTTTTAAAGTTTCTTCATGTGAAATCAATATAAATGGTATCTCTATAATGTGATCCCAAATTATGGTTGCCCAATATAACTGACTCGCTTTATCCATTAAGATGGGTAAATCTTACAGCAATGACGCCAAACTTGGTACATTTCAGAGGAAATGTTTCAGGCACTGAATTTGATTTCAGGGAGTGGAAGCAAGAGAACAAGTAAAAGTAATCCATTTAGGTCCTTGATGGAAATGCAGGTGTAAAGAGGAGGGGAAAATGTGTTCAGGAACAAAGTCAACACTTATGCATCATTTAGCCTCCCCTCTATTTTGGTCTTCAACTAATGGATTGAATCAGCGTACAATTGAACCTCGTGTTACCTATCACCCTCTTTGCGAATGCTTCGGGTTACGAGCTCCGCTAACCTGGAAGTAGACGCCCCTTCTTGCGAACGTTGCCCTGGGATGTGAGCGGAAGTCGCGCGCTGGTGGCACAGCAGCAGCAGGAGGCGCCATTAGTGAAAGCGCACCTCATATTAAGAACGGTTTTGGGTTACAAACGGAATTAAGTTTGTAACTGGAGGTACCCCTGTAGCTTCAAACTACATTTTTGCCCAGCAACAGTTTCCGAAAGTCTTCACTCACTTACTTTTCTTTATGTTGGTCACCATCAGTTCCATGCTGTTTCTGTTCCTAATCTATGGCTTTGGTTCATATATATATATATATATATATATATATATATATATATATGTCACTTCATTAAAGGGTTACACCAGCACCAGGAACCAACCAATCCGATTTGGCTATGGCATGAAGCCAAATCAGAATGAAGGCAATAAGTGCCACTATCACTCTGCATAGGCTTCTTGATGAGGCCATATAACATGAGGTTTTGCTGCTTGGCAAGCGTAACTAAGCCAAGTCAGAGCGAGGGCATTACTCCTGCCCTCATTCTGAATGGGCAAAAAAAAGCCTCTTTGGTATAAAACCAAATGGGGTAGGAAAAACACAGGAAGACAGGGAAGAAATCTAAAATGCTGCTGCTGAGCACTTATATTAGCATTTGGTGTGGAAGACTGGGGTAGAATGAACAGGAAAGAAAAAAAAGGAATTAGAGGGGGGCACAAAATAAGAGAAGCTAGACAAAACCTCCAGTTGGCAAGGGATAGCTCAGGCGGTAGAGAATGTGATTCTTAATCTCAGGGGTTGTAGGTTCGAGCTATAAAAAGATTCCTGCATTCCAGGGGGCTGGACTAGATGACCCTCGTGGACCCTTCCAACTCTACAGTTCTGTGATTCTAAGTTGAAACATTTGCCTAACCATGCAAATTATCACAGGGTCAATGGAGACAGGGACATGCAAGCCCCATCCCTTGTGCCCCCCTCCATCCCTGCCAGGGGTCTTCCACCTGTTTGCAAGAACATTGGGGTGGAGTTTAATGCACACCCTTGTCCCCAACCTTACCTGGAGAATCTGCATGTCCAGGTAAATGCCTGAACATGCTTATCCTTGCAGTCCGGGGATCCAGACCCACACCCAGAGATTTGACTTTATGTATCATTTACCCAAGTGCCCCGACTGGCTCAACAAGTGAGGCAGGGCCCGAAGCAGACTCCTTTGCTGAATCAAGCATTTGCTCAAAAGCCAATACCAGAATGGTGCTTTCCAAGATTTGCAAACAGTTGTAAAAGTGCATGCCTAGAGGAAATTGGACGGTGCTCTTGCAAACAGATTCTGAATAAAGCATCTACCAGTGCAGAGATCAACAACAAGCCATTTGTTTGACGAAATAAGCATCACGAAGATCCAGCTATTAATGAATAGTACAATGTTGCATGTTAGCTAATTTATAAAATGATGTATACAATTATTGTATTTTCCTTTGCAGACCAGACTGAGCTCAAGTCAGCCTATCAGCAGTACCTATGTGTCCCATTTCCTTTGATTTCAAACCATGTGAGCAAAGTTACAGGTAGGTAGCTGTGTTGGTCTGCCGTAGTCAAACCAAAATAAAAGAATTCCTTCCAGTAGCACCTTAGAGACCAACGAAGTTTGTTATTGGTATGAGCTTTTGTGTGCATGCACAGGTATCTGAAGAAGTGTGCATCGACACAAAAGCTCATACCAATAACAAACTTTGTTGGTCTCTAAGGTGCTACTGGAAGGAATTTTTTTATCTTGTTTCATGTGTGCAAAGGTAGCATTTTGCTGCAGGGCTTATGAGCACCAGTCAGCTGATTGGCGCTTTGAGCAAGCCCAATTTGGACAGCGACTAGCTGTATTATATCAGTATCAGCTGCTATTAAGTGTCACTCAGCTGCTTGGCACCCACAGCAAGCCTCGTTTGTCAATGAACAATCGAGAGCAATCGAGAGTACACTTTTAAGGCTTCCAGATCCATCCTTTGCAGAAGTGTCTTTACCTGCCCTGCACCTGGTGTCACATATGATGCCAGCTATGGGACAGGTTTGAAGGAAAACAGCCTCCCAGTACGAGGCATAATTTGGCCCATCAGCCAGGGGTTCCCCACCACTGATTAAAATGATTAAGTCCATCATACAAATTTGTCCAGCAGATAATTCTTAGTGCAAAGGTGGAAAGCAATCTGTGCAAGAAAAATAGGTATCAAGCAAGCACAGTCTCTTCCCGTATTTACAGATGGGTGAAGAGAATCAAATCAAAACTTTGTGCTAACTCTTCAGCCAATGTTCTATAAACAGGTAAGACTAGCTACCATGCCAAGTATACCAGTAATAAAATAAGCAGTCCTGGAAATGATTATTAATATTAATGTACTAGCTCTGTACGGTCTGTATTAAAGAAAGACCCACATATTAGTGTAACAGAATGCACTTTTTATGGCCTAAACCCAACCCACTGAATGACAAGGCAGGCTATCTCAGCGATACACAATGAAGTATTTGTCTCTCAATTTTGTAATCACATGCACGTTGCAGTATCTTGCAGGGTGGATTTGATTTAAATCATCCATTTAAATCACTAGTAAGTAAGTGATTTAAGTAAGACTTGATTTAAATCATTCTTTTACAGAAAGACTCGTTCTTGCTGGTATAATCTTAATATTTACATCCAGATGAAGGTTTCATTTTTGGAACAATAAATTTTCAGAGTAGCTTTTACAGTTATATCAAAAATTACTAATTTGGTTATACTATTAGAAATTTGTTTCTAATAGACAGGTAATTATGAAATTATTCTTTATATTTGGACAACTTTTCTGCTGTACTTTATTGGAAGGAGAAAAATAACCATTTCCTTAACAATTTAAACAATTTATTTAAGTAAAATAATAACATAGTATATGTATCCATGTTTGTTAACTGATGTAGTTAAACAATTTAAAAAAACAAAACAACTTAGACTGAGTTTTAGCACACATGAAAAACCTAAAACAAATCTTTATTTCCTGATGAATAGCCTTTGGACTATAATGTAACTTAAACAGAAAACTATCTTTGGAAAGATTTTTCCTCCAAAAGCATTTTATTTTAAAAATCCAATTAATATATTTTTTTAATCCGATTAATTTTTTTTAAATCATTGATTTTTATCCACCCTGGTATCTTGGCTAGTCAGAAGATGGATAAATGCTTTGTCTGAAAGAGCAATTCATCATACATGAATTGGGATGGGGACTATGATTATAACAGCAATCCATGTTGCTCAGGTCTACAGAGCACCAGATTATATGGTATATTGAAAGGTCAAGGAACAAGGCTTGTAGTTAAACGCAGTCATGTGGCTAAGCCAAATATGTAAAGCCTTTCAGAAACGTGGAAGATTCGTATAAAGCTTCTGGATGAACAAGTCAACCACACCAGTGTTTCAGAAATGGAGAGAAGCAGTGCTCTTTTTCTAGAAAAAGAGGTGCCAGAACTCACCATGAACTTCTCCCTTTTTCTCTTCGAAAGGCAATGGCACCCACCTGAGAGGTGCCAGAGTTGAGCTCCAATGAGCTCCAGCTGGGGGGGGGGGGGAGCCCTGGATAGAAGCATGTTCAATTGTTGAATTAAGTAACTCAAGTGTTCTTTTGGAAGACTGATCATGTACCAGTTATGCTTAGCCCGTTCAGATTGCTCATGTGAACACAAGTTAAGCCAGCAAAAGGGGTGGCATAAAACAGACCATATTTAAAATGTTCATTTTCTCTCTGCCAGGATTAGGTTAGCTCTAAGCCAGCAGTAGCCCCACTTCTGAACCCAGTTTGAATCTGATGTAATTTTAAGCCAGTTTGCTTCACGCCACCTTTCTGTGTATCGGATTGCTCCCTCAGATTGTGTTTTTAATTAATGCTACTTTAATTAAGATCTGTGAAAAGGCTCACAGTGTCAAGGTGGAAAAGGAGGATGCAAATATTTTGAATTCAGAATTTGATTCGGCACATCTCTTAGTTGAAAGCCAGTTGGAACATGCGGTACATAGAATTTCTTGCATGCAAAACAAGCATAGGAGAAGCTTGCGTGTTAATAAATCAGGAGCAGTTGGGCTTATCTTCGGGGGGGGGGACTGCTTTGAGGGGTTTTACAATCAAGCTGTGGATAAATTTCGTGAAATAAATAAATAAATAGTTTATTGTCTCAGCAGCTTGTGTGGCTCAGTGCAGTTTGTTTGATGGTTTTTTCCTTCCTTGCAGCCACAGTAAAAGCCAAGGGTAAATTTCCATTACCCAACTCCTTCTTGCACAATGCTGAATGATCAGGTCCAAGGAGGAATACAGTAGTCTTAATTGCATCTCAGTACTATTTCCAAAGTAAACCTTGTGGCCATCACAGCCATCATATCCTCCACAGGGCAGAAGTCCTAGCTATGGTGTTCACACACACACACACACACAACCATTAACCCATTGGAAAGTCAGAATTCCATTGAAATTTGGGTTGATTAAGGCACGCTGCTCAGATGGCGAAGCCACACCATGTGAAACAAGGGCATGGGGTGTGTTAGAGCTGGTGCAGGAACACCTCATATGAACACATTCACACATGGCAAGATCCATCAACACTCACTGTCTCCTTCCTTGCCCCACATTTAAGGTGATTCTGAGAGTTTACAACATGCGGAATCAGAGTTGGAAGTGCCCTCAAAAGGTTATGTAGTCTAAGTGCTGACAACGCAAAAGAAGTATACAAGCAAAGCAGAACCGTCACATCCAAATAAAAACGTGCACATCCCTTTCAGGTGGCCTTGCTTCTCCGCTTCAAATCACCACTTATGTACGACTTTGCAATGAATCAACCCACCCACTGGATTGCCAAATGCCCCGAATTAAAATTCAAAGAGACCACTTGCACCCCTACCCCCATCCACTCATTGTGCAAAGGGGAAGAAATAAATATTCGCCGCAAATATGAAAAACTCAGCCACACAGTTCCTGGAGAGCGGGACATTTGGAAACCTGCACACATTTTAAGTGGGGTCAGTAGTAACAAACTAGTTTAATGCGTTGGTTCCTTCAAGACAGGATTACTGCAATGCGCTGTTTGTGGGGCTTCTCTCGTGCTTGATCCAGAAGCTGCAGTTAGTGCAGAATGATGCAGCACAATTGCCAACAGGAGTGATGCCGTGTCAACCTACATGTGCTTACTCGACCGCTTCAATCAGCGGAACCAGCACCACTACAGGTGCCACATCACACCTGTTACTGCATTTGCAATAACTCCAATCACTTAAAGGTAGGTAGCAGTGTTGGTCTGCCGTAGTCGAAACAAAATTTTTAAAAAATCCTTCCAGTTGGGGGGGGGGGGTTGGATTTGATATCCCGCTTTATCACTACCCTAAGCAGTCTCAAGGGACGCGGGTGGTGCTGTGGGTTAAACCACAGAGCCTAGGACTTGCTGATCAGAAGGTCAGCGGTTTGAATCCCCGCAACGGGGTGAGCTCCCATCGCTCGGTCCCTGCTCCTGCCAATCTAGCAGTTTGAAAGCACGTCACAAGTGCAAGTAGATAAATAGGTACCGCTCTGGTGGGAAGGTAAACGGCATTTCCGTGCGCTGCTCTGGTTCGCCAGAAGCGGCTTAGTCATGCTGGCCACTTGACCCGGAAGCTGTACGCCGGCTCCCTCAGCCAATAAAGCAAGATGAGCGCCGTAACCCCAGAGTTGGTCATGACTGGACCTGATGGTCAGGGGTCCCCTTTACCTTTAAGGAGTCTCAAAGTGGCTAACATTCTCCTTTCCCTTCCTTCCCACAACAAACACTCTGTGAGGTGAGTGGGGCT